TAGGGAAGAATTATGGCTCCAAGAAGACACCAGAGATTTAAAGAAAGGCCACACTGTAGCACATTTAATGCCATAAGCTCTCAATGGGCTTTCTTAATTGTAATTATCTCTTCTTCAGCTGTTATACTATTTGGGAATCATCATAGTTTAAAAATATTCTTTTCTGATGGTAACCAAAGAAAACCAACTGGTGTCCACAATGAGAAGAGTGAGACTTCTAGTTAGTGACGGCTCATTCTTGCACGTTCAGGATCCGTAAGCTGGACGCCTCGATTAGCCAGCCGTCACCAGAGAACTCGTTGGCTTCGAGTCAGTGTCTCCAACAGTTTTTTATGTGGAAGTACGGATATTTGCATTTGTCACGTTTCCTACCTTCTCCACAAAATTCACTTTGCGTGTTTTCATTGCTGTTTACTAGTTTTCTTCATCTTAATCTTTTTACCCATAAAATAGAGTTAATAATATCCACCTCAAGGATCATCTTAAGAGTTAATCATAGAAATTACATTAAAATTGAGCAGAAAATGGGCCATCAGAAAAGATAAAGAAAATGAGCTCCCTTGAAGCAGAGATGGAGGGGTCAACCCTTCATTCCTGAAATTAAAATCCAGCTAAAAGCTGAACTCATCTCTCTTTCTCCGTTTAATTTTAGCACAGACTCTGGAACCGTGCAGTCATTCCGTGTTTACTTAATTCATTCTGCGGCCACTGACAGGCGTTGGGCACACTATGGGAAAAGGGCTTTAGTACCTCAGGGTCTTTACGACACACAGTGGTGGCTTTCACATGCTGACTATTAAGATACATTCAAAAATACGTTTTTCATATTATGCAGCATGCGTGTGTGAGCGCACACACCCAAAACCAACACACACGACTGAAAAACACCCTTCACAAACAGCTCCGACCCCAGCCTGTGTCACACACTTTGACTTTTTTTTTATCCTTTTGTGCTCATTTTTGTAAAATAAAATAAAAAAAAGAAATGGTGGCTGCAGTTCATTACACTGACTGCAATACCAACCCCGGCGAACATCCGGGCCTGCGAAAAGCCGTTTTCCGCCGGATGTTCTCACTCTATTTCTGAGCACGGACACGATCGGACTCTGCTGGGGCTGTCACTGCAATAAAAGTACCAAATTTCAGAGTCTTAAAAAAAAATCCCAATTGTCTCCAAACAACAGAATCTATTTTGAATAAGACACAGAGTTTCCTCTCACTTACCTTTTTTCCTCTTGGAAAAAATGAAATCTCGCCGGGGCACAGAGCGAAAACCCTTTAGGTCCCATCATGATTTATACACTATGGGATCATTTCTTTAGCCTCAGTTACAAAACAAAAAGAAGAAGAAGAAGAACCTAAAAGTGATCAACCTTTCAGCAGCAGCGACACACAATATTAAAGTCAGAATACGTGAGAGCACACCCCTGTTGAGGCCGTGGATTTGTTAAGCTAAACTAATAAATCCTATGTAATAACAGAGTCCTTGTTCTCTTAAACTAACGCGGAAGGACGGTGATTATAAACATGAGAGATCTACAATGTGGTCTTTCCAACTACTGAAAGACACAACAGTCCATTCTCATTACGTGATCTGCCTACCCAACACGCCAGCGCTAAGCTCAAATAGCAAAGCCTTTGCTGTTATTGAGCGCGTCACCGATCTCTCTCAATAAGAAACTTGTGTGTCAATACCAAGGTGGATGCAGAGCTATGGCGGAGACCTTCCCTTCTGCTCTACTTACCTACCAGCCCCTCTTCCTATAGTAACAGGAGTTTAATGGGGGCTGCGTCCACTCAGCTAGAGGCTGCATTTCCCAACACCCTTGGCTGTGAGGCATGTTTAAGGGACCAGGTTGTAGACAGTGAGATAAAAACGGAAGTAACCTATGCAATGTCTGGGTAAGGAACTTAAAAAGAAAGGGGCTTGCTCCCCTATGTCCCATTCTGTTAGCAGCAATGTGGCCAAAGTGACCGCTTACGGGCCAAAATTAAAAATCAGGCACTGCCCGGCTGGCGGGGCTCAGTGGTTGAGCATCGACCTATGAACCAGGAGGTCACAGTTCGATTCCCGCTCAAGAGCACATGCTTGGGTTGGGGGCAGGTGTGCAAGAGGCAGCTAACCCATGATTCTCTCTCATCAATGTTTCTGTCTCTCTCTCCCTCTCTCTCTCTGAAAGCAATAAAAATATATATATTTTTTAAAAATCAGGCACTGAGGATGGTTCACAGGGTTAGATGACAGAGAACTAAATGTGTATTTTGTTTAGCCACTTCCTTAACGTGGCCACACCTGTGTCCTAAATAACACACAATTCCCTTTGCAAAGCGGACGTCTCGAAAGGAGTGGGGAAAGGGAGAGGAAGCAGTGCGTGAGGGTCATCACAGCAGAAGCAAGATTGACGTGCAAGGGCAGGAAGGACGTGAGGCTGTCCAAGGGGGGAGGGGGAGGGCAGTGGCGTGGTCACAGAAAGGTCATGCGCTCCCACCTCTGCCGTGACGCGTGTCACAGAAACAATCCTGGCGGAGGCGGCGCCCTGTCTTCTACACACAGACGCTTTCTCTTTTTTTGACGAGATGGGACTTGCTTGTATATATCCACATCAAATACTGAACTAGAACGTAAGTGCATTCTACTCATCACTACACCAAATGTCAAAAGAGTCAGCTCCCAGCAGGAAAACGAGCAGCGGCATCAATGGGAAAGGTCTCCGCATGCTCAGCGCTGCGTTCGCCCCACGGTGCCCAGTCAAATGGAGCATCGTGCTCGGATGTCACATGATCAAATAACATATGTAAGCGGACGGTATGCGATGAAATGAAAGGGGGGAAAACGGAACCACTATTGATTCTTACAGGTAGAAGATAACGCTACGGCCGAAACTCTCAGAGCGACAAACCGTCTCATGATCCCAAACGTGCGCTGGAATTTGCTTCCTGCACCGCTGAGGCGGAGCTATTTCAGCACGCTGGGTATTTACTGGGCTCCCGTCTCTTCGGTACAGAGATGCTTTGAAGATAACGTCCATAGAGATACACAAAACTGCCCTGCCCCGCACAACCCCGCTAATGGAAAACATATCGCCAACACAGGACCGCGGGAGGAACCACAACGGTGGGTTTCCAACTGCTGGAAAACATCACCCGCATTTCAGACCTCCTGCCTGGCGAACTTCTCCATTTATTACTAACCGAGCATTTCTGAACGGGTGCTTGTGGGGAGTAACAGCAATTACTGGTCTCATGCTGCAGGTCTCAGTAGAATATACCTGATGGATACTTGTCTTATTTACGTGAAATCCTCCACTCAACCGTCAGGTTGAAAAGTAAAACCACAGTCACTCTAGAGCAGTGGTTCTCAACCTTCTGGCCCTTTAAATACAGTTCCTCCTGTTGTGACCCAACCATAAAATTGTTTTCGTTGCTACTTCATAACTGTCATGTTGCTACTGTCATGAATCATCATGTAAAGATCTGATATGCAGGATGGTCTTAGGCGACCCCTGTGAAAGGGTCGTTCGACCGCCAAAGGGGTCGCGACCCACAGGTTGAGAACCGCTGCGCTAAAGCCTCCAAACAGGGAACGCGGGGACAGTGAAGACCTCGCCTCCTCCAGCTCCTGATCTCCGGGATGGCTACTGCCTTTACATACAGGTTAACACAGAGGAACAGTGAGGACAAGGGCACGCGAGCTTCTGAAAGGAGGCTCCTTGCAGACACTCGGAGGCTAGAAATTAGGGCAAACTTATTTTGTCTCTAATTTTTCATCAAAACTAAGAGAGGGACAGAAATGGCCCTAGACTTGGGAGCAATGATCTAGAAAGAGAGGGCCTGGCATCCCGATAAGGAAATTGAGTAGGCGGCTGAGGAGCACTGCCGATGACCTCATTCTGGAAAGACCAGGGCAGTGGTTCTCAACCTTGGCTGCACATTAGAATCACCTGGGAATCTTTTTAAAATCCTGATTTCTGGGCCGCATCCTCCCGAAATTCTGTTTTCTTTGTGATGGGGTGGGGCCACAACATGAGTAACAAAGAAACAGAATTTCCGGAGGATGGGGCCCAGAAATCAGGATTTTAAAAAGATTCCCAGGTGATTCTAATGTGCCGTCAAGGTGGAGAACCACTGGGCTAGGGCAATGGACAGGCCCCGACCCCACAACGGGCCCAGCGTGTGATCAGCTCAGAGAAGGAACAGCTGTCGCCTCCACGTAGCTCTGTCAGGCAGAGGCTGATGTTCGCGTGCGTGGACGGAGGAAGAGACAGACAAACCAAAGGACACCAGGACGGGCCTCGTCCGTGTGTGGGCCACTAACTGCCCACAGCCCAGTCCACGAGAGGATGACGGCAAAGGCCACGAGACGAAGGCTAAATTGAACCAACTGTTCTCTCTGGCCCCTCAGGAAACAATCAGCGGACAGAGATCCATGTTAGAAAACTCGACCTCCCTGGGATGTGTCGGCAAAAGGTGGGACCGTCAGACCCGTGAACCACCTTAACGGCACTATGGTTACACATCTGTAAAAGTCAGCCAGATACGGACAATCTTTAGGAACTCTTAAAAATAAATAAGTAAGTAAATAAATAAGTAAATAAATAAATAAATAAGGAAGAGGGCAGGAAGACAAGCCAATTCCATCCTTTATTATCACTTCCTCCCGTCTGTCTGATCATAGAGCGCGAGCTAGAGCATGTCCACTGCTCTCAGCCAAATGCTGAGTTGCCATGGCCGGCCCAGGACATGTTTTAGTTCCTGCAGATGCCGGCTGGTGACGATGGCCGGGGAGAGAACGGGAAGGCAGACGTGGCCTCGCCAACGTCCATCCCCAACAAAGCGGAGACAGCACCTTTGTTATAAACAATCTCCACTCATTTCCGTCTGCTCTTCTCTGAACAGACGCAACTTTGACCATGGGCATGTCTGAAGGCAGTTGTTCTGGATGCTGTCAGGAAACATTTAAAAATACGATAAAGAACAATATTGAAAAGTAAGCTACTCACCGATGCCAATGAAAGCCGCCTGGTACCCCTCTGCTTTCAGAGTGCTGAGAGTCATGTCATTCACGGAGAGGCTCCTGCCACAAACTATCTGTAAGAAACGAGATGTGAATAATGACACTTGGAATTTTGATTCATGAAATACTTTAAAAATTTATTTTCATTGATTTCAGAGAGGAAGGGAGAGGGAGAGAGAGAGAGAAACATCAATGGTGAGAGAGAATCATGGATCCCCTGCCTCTTGCACGCCCCACACTGGGGATCAAGCCCGCAACCTGGGCCTGTACCCTAACCGGGAATCAAAACGGTGACCTCCTGGTTCCTAGGCCGACTCTCAACCACTGGGCCACACCGGACGGGCTGATTAATAAAATCTTGATCTTCAACATCAAAAAGAACAAGAACTGGAGATTATATATATATGTATTTCCAAATGTATGGAAATATGTTTGTCTGTTAGAAGTAGAACACTAACACGTTTTACTTAAGGGCTAACTGCATTTCTTTTGCCTTTTAATAAAAGTAGCAAAGATAAAAGCGAGTGTATGTAAAGCCAAGTGGGTAAACTTTCATAGCTTAATTAATATGTTCAAAGCACTACGTGGGGGCACTTTCAATGATAAAATGACAAACGAGACAGCTTCTGCCTCAGTGTGTAGTTAAGATCCGTGCAGAAGATGCACATAAACAAACACAACATAAACCAGTGGGACCAGCCCAGGTCCACAGGCGCTGGGAGGATGGAGAGATTCCTTCTGGCGAAGGTCAGAGAGACGAGAATTAAGAGGCGGTGGGACTTCAATGGGACCTTTGTGGAGAAGGGCTGGAAGCTCGACAGGGAGCGTTGTGCAGGGAGGATGAGGAAAGGCAGGAGGCAGAGGGGCATCACCCCTATTAAAAGCCACAATACTTTGCTCAGTTCCCAGGCAGGAGCCAATTTTCAGAACTGGAACCTGCCGACGGCAGAGGCGGCCGGGTCCAAGGGAAAGGACCCTGCCCGTACCCACCGCAGTGACTGCCCCCGCCCTGCTCCACGGGGAGCTGTGGCCGCTCGCCAAGGTGACTGTTTCAAGGACCTCAGACACAGACTTATCATTGACACCTGAAGACAGACGGGACCTGCAGGGACCAGGCAGGAAATGGAGCCTGGCTAACATCTCTAGCTCCATGAGATCACAGATCCAGTGTGAGCCTCTTCCCCAGGCCTCAACTGTAACATCCAAACGTTGTACTTGTCCGGGGAAGTCACCCCCACATGAAGGCAGGAGGGCGGCGGGAAGAGATTAACCAAAGGACTTACATTCATATACGCATAACCCATGGGCACATGCGGCAGTGCGTTGGAATGGAACTCTACATAGCAGACACTGCCCTGGCCGGTCTGGCTCAGTGGATAGAACGTCAGCCCGCAGACCAAAAGGTCCCGGGTTCAATTCCGGTCAAGGGCACATACCTCAGTTGCAGGCTCCTCCCCAGCCTGGGCCATGGTTGGGGCATGTGCAGGAGGCAACCAATCAATGTGTTTCTTTCACATCGATGTTTCTGTCTTTCCCTCTCTCTTCCACTCTTCCTAAAAATTAATGGAAAAATATCCTCAGGTGAGGATTAACCAAAAAAATAAAATAAAATGGCAGACATAAAAATCATTGCTGGGCTGCTACTCTGAAATCCTAGCATTAGCGGTTAAACAGATACTACGTCAGGAAAATCCCCCGGTGGGCACGCTGATCACGGTCTTGTTCTGTGAGTCCCTGCACTCTTCTATTCGTAATGTTCTGCCATCGTGATACTCATAGATGTGGATTATAGACTAGAGTAGAGCTTCCTCAGATGGCTTTAGGGACATGTGACTGGGCAAACACCTGAGCCAAATTCAGAATAAAATTCCTTCCACTTCATTGTCGGCATAAGAGTTATTGCTAATCCAATATACGGGCTGCAGAGAATAAGGCCTGAGGCAAAGCTCCGTCTACTCTCCACTTTGGACTTGAGGACAACTTCCTTTATCGTCCATGAAAGGCATTCACATCGAGAATAATATTATAGGGGGTGGGAGAGATGAGCCTGGGCGCTCGGATGCGTATGTGCATAGCCCCTGGACACCGACAATAGTGGGGTGAAGGCTGGGGAGAGGTGGGTGGGGGGTGGCGGGGGTCAATGGGGAAAAAGGGGGGCATCTGTAATACTTTCAACAATGAAGATACATTTTTTGAAAAGAGTAATATTTATCACGTAGGATGAAGGTTTACAACTGCTTTTGGAGGGGAATTCTGTGTGTAAATGGGCTGTGATGCCCCATAAACACACAGGAAACAAGTGCACAGGTTCTCCACACGCCTCTGGTAGGAGGTCTGGCTAAAGAGATAAAGTATTTCCAGAATCTCTGAGACAGGAGACCAGCCGGAAGAGTTTTTAAAATATTTAGCTGTCTTTAGAAACACCAATTATTTTGTCAACGATTGCTGCGCGTTCCTCTCCTTCCCGTGCGGATATTGATAAGACGCTATGAGTTCCCAATAGCATCCTATTGTAATGGAAATGCTTGCTTCCGGCAACGGTAATGGAAAACAAGACAACGAAGAGAGCTCATCCAGAAAGAGACCTGGTAGGTATTTCTACTCAAATCATGCAGCAGAGGAAGCGCCTCGCAATGACAAATTAAGTTAAATCAAAACAGAACGCTCTCACCCTATTCTGAGAAATGGCCACTATACATGTTTTACACGTATTTCGAAAAATGCAAGAGCTTTATGCAGATTTACATTTTTAGCTTTAAAATTTAAAGCCATTAGAAATATTATAAACACTATGAGACAAAAAAATATGTGCCCATCCCACCCATTCGGAATTGCAAGACCAACAAAAGAGCATTTAGTCTAAAAGATGAGTAACATCGTCTGGCACAAATATCACAAGAGACTTTATTAAGTCCACCTGAAATTAAAAGTGATTTGCCATGTCTTACATTAAATTTGTTATGATAAAGTCAAGAGATGTCGTGTCTTTATTAAGTCCACCTGAAATTAAAAATGATTTGCCGTGTCTTACATTAAATTTGTTATGATAAAGTCAAGAGATGTTATAAAAATATAACAGCTAAGAGGCTAATTCTTCTCCAGAAAAAAAAGTAGTTTTATTTTATTAGAAATGGTCTTTTGATGAGAAATCACTTGAGAGTGTACTTGATAAATTAGAAATTGCATATCTTGCTGATCATGTAAAGTAAAAAAAAAAATAAAAATCTGAATGTTATCGTAAGAATGCAGAAGCAAGGAAAAATATTACCCTAAACAACTCTGTGTTAAAGGGGAAAACAAAACCACAGTCGCTCAAGGAAGAGAATCATAACAGTAAGAGGAACACACGGATGCCCAGAAGGGTCTCCTCGGAGAGAAATGAATAATTTGAAATGGTTTTGTTATTCAACCTAGAAAAACTAAAAAGTACAGAACTCAAGGCTAAGAAAGGAAGAGGAGTTCCTAAAGCTCCATTGTAAGCCGATAGTGTGTTAACTTTCTGACCATCTCTAAAGGAACACCACAATATTTATTCCACAAAACAATGGGAAAGACAAAGCTGTTCCCCACGGACCTCCTGCTCCTGTTGAGAAGGCATGATCCCATGGGCACGCCTGGCGTGATGCAGAGAATAAATAAAACGAGCCTCGGTAAGAAAGGGTGTTCCGTCTTGTGAAATACGAATGTTTGAGAGCATGGAAGTTGCATGAAAAACAGAAAGCAGATAAACAAAACAAGAGCGCGATGAAAGAAGCCAGACCCTTCCATCCTCCACACTGAACCCCTAAAGCCATGTAGGGATCTGAGCCGCACAGACAATTAATCACGTGCGGGCGTGCCAGATGAGCGCTATCGATCGCCCCTTTCCAGGCTGGTGGCCTTCAGACAGGCAGACAGACAAATGCCCTGAGCAAGGAGAGATCCTGCTGCTGCTGCCGGAGCCGCTGTTAATTGTTCTGCCCACGATGTGTGGCATTTCGCTGCTCAGCGCAGCTGTGAGCCCACGCCTCCCTCTCTGAACAACAGCCAGGTGTTGTCTTTCATTTACCTTCACACCGAGGTCCTTCATCAGCTCAACCTCGAAGTTCACGACGTCATAGGGCAGCCGGAACTGAGGGATCTCAGAAGTGCTGGACGAGAAAGAGAAAAGAAAAAGGAGCACCTGTTAAAAATCATCAATCTTAAAAATGCAACCTGTCTTCCTGATCAATATTAAGGGATTAACTGTCTCTTTGAAGGGTGTTTGCATTTCACAGAACATGAGACCAGTGGGGGCATCCACATTTTTATATACAGAATAAAATATTATAGGGACTACAGTCTACATTTTTATACACAGGGTAAAATATTAAAATATTATAGGGACTATAAGAGAAAGAGTAGAAAGTGATGTGGAAAATAAATAAATGTAAACTACGGAAAACAAATAATAAATAGACAATTGGTAAAAAGCATTTCCAAAGCTATTAAGATTATGGTCTACTAATCTATAGATATAAAAGCCTAATATGCAAATTATCCCCACAGGAGTCCAACTGGGAGACATATCACTTGCTATGACGTGTGCTGACCACCACGGGGCAGTGCAGAAGGAAGGCCCCAGCCGGCAGCCAGGAGGCCCCGATTGGCCCTGATAGCCGGCCAGGCCTAGGGACCCTACCTGTGCCCAAATTTCATGCACCGGGCCTCTAGTAATTATATAAGAAATTCCTAAGAAAATGCAATGTTAAATACCAATAATTAGTTGAAAGTATAGGTCATGTTTAATATACATACATATATGTATATTCATATATATTCTATAAAGATTCCTCTAGCTCAGCTGTTTTCAACACATGTGCTGCAAGCATGTTTAAAACATGTGATGCCTGACTATTTAGTTGGGGCACTGGCCTCTTTTCCCTTAAATTGCCAAATAAAAAAATGACCAACAGCCAATACAACAGCTGTCTGGTATGAATGAATGAAAATTTTACCTTTTGGGGGGGGTCAGGTTGGCAAAAAATGTATTTTTTGTTGTGCCACAGAATTGTAGAAATTAGTTTATGTGTGCTCTGAGCTGAAAGAGGTTGCAAATCGCTGTTTGAGCTTGTTCGTGTTCAAATCTGTGACTCTGTACTACTGTGCCGTTTAGGACATGGCAGGATTAGTTCCATGTGACCTAGAGAACATTTTTGAGGTAAACCCATCTTCTTCTCTGAAAGCAATAAGCATCCCCGAAGGACACAGTCATAAATAAGGAATGTCAGTACTGGCTTACTGTCCGCCCTTAAACCTCCCCACAAAAACAACCACCACAAAAAAACTATTTATAAAATATAATCATTCTATACTGTGATAATTTAGGGAATGAAAAGCTAAGCAAAATTAACTTTTCAGTGTTTTACAATAATGAACAGGCTATATGTGTCCACGGATATTTTATTTATTTATTCATTTAGGTTGTCATTTAACAAGCATGTACAGAGCACCGGGCGCAGTGTTAGTGACTGGGATTTGATGGTGAATTTTACCAAATTCCCACTTTTAAAAAGCTCTCGTGCTGGTGGGGAAAGTTCCAGAAACAGATAACTACAAAAGGATGTAGTCTATGTCATGAGAGAGCTACGTCCAGGCCTGATAGAGATTCAAGTGTGAGGTGAATAAGCAATTGCTGAAGATGAAGCCCCTGGGTTGCCCAAAGCCGTCTTCTGAGGCGCACACACAGCCTTTTTCTTAGGCTTATGAACTTGACTATTCAATCAATTTCTCTACGTCAAACAATCAGCAAGGCAAGGCACCGTGCTCCGAGTGACAGAAAATCCACAGAATTAACAGTGTGAAATCAAGGCCTTCACTAACGGTGCCGTCTGACCAGTTAGGATGCAAGACTCCAGTGAGAAGGGCTTTGGGTCTCAGTCAGGGATAAGAATCTCAAGCTGACCTGGGAACGCGGGCCACCTGGGCCCTCGAATGCCCTCACAATGCTCTGGATAACTATCAGAACATTCCACCCCCAGATCCCTGGTTGAAATAGGGTTATCTTCAGGTGAAGGCAGGTGAGAAGAAGCAGACACATTCTGAAAAGCTCCTGCCCCCTCTTCTCTGCCTAGAAGCAGGACATACATTCGCACAGGTGCGTCTCCCTTTCTGAGCCAGAAGGGCAGAAGTCTGAATCACCGAGAGACAAGTCTGGGCATGGATGTGCACAGAGGGCACCTAGGGCAGTGATGGCGAACCTACGACACGCGTGTCAGAGGTGACACGCGAACTCATTTTTTTGGTTGATTTTTCTTTGTTAAATGGCATTTAAATATAGAAAATAAATATCAAAAATATAAATCTTTCTTTTTCTATGGTTGCAAATATCAAAAAATTTCTATATGTGACACGGCACCAGAGTTAAGTTAGGGTTTTTCAAAATGCTGACAGGCCGAGCTCCAAAGGTTCGCCATCCCTGGCCGAGAGAGATCTACACCACAAACCTCAACGACCCTGGGCTCCCAGGAGCTTCCCTCTTCCAGCCACTTTCTCACAGGATGCCGCCCCCAAAACACCCTTCCGTCTGGTCTGGTCCCTTCTTCACTGACTCACTGTTTTTTGTAAACAAGCTACACAAGCCTCAGGTTCTGACACCCCTCCTTCCTATGAGGGACTCGCCCCTGAGTTCTCCCACCTGCATGCCCGATACAGGTGTCGATAAACTCAGTTCACTTCACAGGCCCAGCCACGGAACCTAAGAGGCTAGAGGGTACTTGTTCCTCCCTGTGTCTTCAAGGGCTAAGCAAAAGGGTTCTCAAACACTGTGGATTGCACGTGGACACCAACAGGTAGCCTGTCTTATTTTGTTGTTGTTGTTAATCCTCACCCAATGATATTTTTCCATTGATTTTTAGAGAGAATGGAAGGGAGGAGGAGAGACACAGAGAGAGAAACATCAATGTGAGAGACACACACTGATTGGTTGCCTCCCGCAGGTGCCCTGACCCAGGGCCAGGGGTCAAGCCTGCAACCGAGACATGTGCCCTTGACTGGAATTGAACCTGGGCCCCCTCAGCCTGATAGATGATTTTTCATCACAATATTTTAGTTTGTTTTAAAACTATATATTTGTGTCTAGAGCTTTAAAATATAAAAATATATTTTGGAGATTTGAGGCAATAATGTTGAAAATGGCCAAATTGCATGATGGTTAGGATTATTTGCTATTGGGTATTTTTCTACTCTTATGGGCACCCTGCAGTTTAGAATGATGGACTGTCATCGATTTGAGTCTGAACAACTTAAAAATGTGCACTTTTCTAAGTATGTTTTGTGATAGTAGTCGTATAAAGTAATGACACTATCATTTGCGGGGCCCGAGATGATGCTCTATCCACTGAGCCAAACCAGTGAGGGCCAGATACCCTGTCTTGAAAGGCATGGAGCGATATGGAAATGAGTGGAAATTGCAGTCTGAGGAAGATCCGGGACAGCTAAGCAAAAACAAAGAGTTCCAGCCAAATAAAGCAGCCACGGCCGGCAAGGTGAGGCTCCACGCACAGGCAGGTACACTGTGAGGGTGACACAGCCTCACCAGGGATTTGTATGGGATCTCGGTAGAAGTATCTATCTACTACTAGTATATAAAAGCCTAATATGCTAATTGTCCCTGCAGGAGTTCAACTGGGAGACCAATTGCTTGCTATGACATGCGCTGACCACCAGAGGGCGGCGTGGAACAAAGGAAGGCCCCAATAGGCCCTGATCATCAGGCAGTCCTAGGGACCCTACCTGTGCATGAATTCATGCACCGGGTCTCTAGTTTGGTATAAAAGGAAAAAAACGGTTCTGCACGAAGAAAGCAGACGACAAGGAAGGAGGACATACCCACTGAGTGGGAGGAAACCTGAGCAAGCAGAAAGTATAATTCTTTCTTTAAAAAATATTTTAATTGATTTCAGAGAGGAAGAGAGAGGGACAGAGATAGAAATATCAATGGTGAGAGAGAAACACTGATCGGCTGCCTCCTGCACGCCCCACACTGGGAATCAAGCCCGCAGCCCGGGCCTGTGCCCTGAACGGAAATCGAACCGTGACCTCCTGGTTCCTAGGTCGATGCTCAACCACTGAGCCACGCCGGCCGGGCACAAAGTATAATTCTGAGAACTGAAGGAGGCATGCAAGCAAGTTAGATGCTGGCCCCTCCCAGGGTCCACAGCTCGGCAGCCAGCACTGAGCACAGGGCTCAGCACGTGCATGAAACGAATCAATGTGTGAGGATCGCCCTGCCCGCGTCTCCTGGGTCAGTAAGCGGAAGGGGAGGTACTACAAGGAGGTGGTTGGATCTGGCACTGACCACACAGGCATTCACTTTTATGAGTAAAAGACAACACCAGGGAGTGCACACAGGCATGGACCCTGAGAGCCTGCTGACGCCACCTGTATCTTTGTCATGACAACATCAAGTCCTCGGCCCTTTTGTAAGTCCCATGAAAACACACATCCTGGGGAGAAAGGGGAAGAGAAGCCGCAGTTGGAGGAAAGCCGCTCTGCTGACAGGGTGCGCATTGGCTGCGGCATCACAGACAGGCAGCTGGTTGTGTTCAATCCCGTGGGGGTTGGGCCCTGGGTCTCCTTCACCAGCTCGAGTGATTTCCTACAAGGTAGTTGGGATCTCAATTTGCCGGGGAGAAAAGCATCTATTTGGATGAAAAGGAAAAGGAAAGATAAAACCTGACATCCCCTCTTTAAGCAATTGATTTCAAATACGAAGCTAATCGAATCTTTTTTAGCCACTTTGAAGGGGCGAGAGGATGAAAGACATCTGTAAGTGAGAAAATAAATGGAGGGGAACGTGTGGGCTGTCACGGGGCTGACTTCCAGCATCGGCGGCGATAATCCCGTAAGAGTGACCACCCTCGGAGGGTCCAAAGGAGAGCCACTCAGCGCTTCACACTGTCCCCAGCTCCCGGGAAGATTTTTAAAAATAACATGTTTGGTCATGAATCCAGGAAAATCTGTCCCACTTGACAATGTTCAGCAAATCTATGAAAACACAAGTTTAGTGTCGACTTCTATGATGTTCTAGACCTGTCTCTCCTGCATTTGAGCTGAGAGAGAGAGAGAGAGAGAGAGAGAGAGAGAGATATGCTAACACCCATGATAATCTACCAGAATTGTCAACACAGAATAATTCACAAACTGGGCCTGTTCCATTTTAGGCTGTGCAAATGCAATTAAGGGCAAAAAGATTTTCCTAGTCTACTAGAGTATACAACACGTACGTTCATATTTTTTTAATTAGCTCATGTATTCATTGATGTGTATAATTGAAAAAAAGTACAATGCTTACATATCTGGCTAATACACTATGTTTCTCCTAATTAATAAAGCTGCAGTAAAATGCCATTATAAAAGATAGTCTAATGCATTCTGGCAAAATAATATATTGGGTATTTTACTTTCCAGGATATAAAGAAGTCTGTAAAATATGTGTAATCCCTTAAAACTCATAGTGGCGAAACGTCTCTATACGAAAATAATTATTTCTTGGCAATCCAGTTATTTTTTCTTCGGCTCATGCTCCTTACCTACTTTTACTGGTCTTCCTATTATGTAATATTTTTGCCTGATGATTCAGTCAAATAGTTTTACATTAATGCAAGTTTATCTTTGTTTTGGCATATTATTATTTGAGCAATATTGAGATTTATACATTTGCTGACACGTATTTTTTTTGCTTTCATAAAACATAAAAAAACATAAGCACACATTGTAGCCATAGCTTGATTAAATTAATTCTTTGTGATTGTTAAATATGAAAAATATATTGTTTAAAAAAATAGTTCAGTAGCCATCAAAACTTAAGTGCTAAGTATAGCAACAGATATGCAAAACGGCTTTACATTACAATCCATGATTTTCTGAAGCAAGATGAGATATTTAGGGAAAATAACAAAAATATTATTAACTTACCGCCCAAATACTTTCTCACTTTTACACCAAATATTTTAAGCAATATTCACTTCCTACTTCTAATCAAGTTTTCTTCTTTATGATCATAAATGCAATCTCCCTTCACTCTAGAGCTCCGTGTATGTTAAATAACGGAAACTCCATCCAATTTCCAGGCTCGGCTCGAATATCTGAAAGCCACTGATACAAATGAACGTTTTCCATTTCCATGTATTCCTCTTCATGGAAATAAAAGACCACGTGACTGAATCTTGATAACACAATAATCATACCGGTTACTATCAAACACTATTTTTTATATTTATGGCATTTATGAGATCAACTGCGTGGATGTACATGAAAATGAGACATTTTTAGTAGACTCCAGCCTAATCAAATGCAAAACATAGGAGACTAAACTGAAAATATGTGAGCAGGACAATGTGTCCGCTACTCCACAAAACGAACCGCCCAAGGGTACATGGAGCTGGGCTTCCCCATCTCCAGTGTCTGTGAGTTCCAGACCTACCTCCACTAGAGGACAGACTCACAGGGATGATGTAAGTTTTCATATGACTGGTTCCTCTACCCATAACATATTTTACTGAGATTTCTCTTAAATTCACAGAATGAGACAGAGGAATGCTAAAGTAAATATTGCTTAAAGCCAACTGCAAATTCAAACTGAATAACAAAATCAAAATGTGAGCATTTGGAAAAAGCACATTTAAAATACCATCTGTGTGCCTGGAGTTTGATTATAATTATGAACCAACAATATTCATAACTGGTTTACCCCAGGATAGCTGATACTACGAATGCAGGCCTTACCTTAAACCACCAACGTATTCTTGTTTTTCAAATATAGTGATGTCAGAGTAGCCCAGTCGAGCCAAGAAGGAAGCACAACTTATACTTGCAGGGCCGGCACCAAGAAGAGCGATCTTTGCCGAATAGGCTTCAGGCATCTCTCTGGGGGAGGCAGAGACGGGTCCCTGATTTGGGGGATGTTCATTGCTTTGAACACCTACGAAGAAACCAATTACCATCATTACCGTTTTTAAACAAACAATCACATCCTCAAGCACTGTTTTAATGTTCCAAATGTATGTGTATCTTTATTTCTTTCATACTAGAGGCCTGGTGCAGGAATTCATGCAAGGCTGGGGTCCCTAGGCCTGGCCAGCGATCAGGGCCTTCTGGTTGGGGGGAGGGCCACAGGCAGGGAGGGACCACAGGAGGTTGGCTGGCTGCGGGGAGGGATGGGGCATGGGAGGTTGGCCGCCAGCTCCCAAGGAGGGAGCTGGCCCTCGGCCCCCCTGGGAAAAGAGAGGTCTGCCACCACCCACCCCCAGGTCCCTGTCCCAGCCCGGGGCCCGAAGGCCCTGGTGAGGTCGGGAGAGGAGGCAACGATCACCGGCCGGGCGCAGAAGGAATGGGTGCCGGACACTGGAGCCGCGTCAGTGCCCCCGCCACCACACGGTTCCCCAGCTCCCCTGCTCCTCCTTCCCTCTCAGAACGACTGATCGACCTGTCATTCCAATCGTCCGGTCGTTTGGTCGTAACAGCCGCTTAGGCTTTTATATATATATATGTTTTTATTGATTTCAGAGAGGAAAGGAGAGGGAGAGATAGAAACATCCATGATGAGAGAGACTCATTGATCGGCTGCCTCCTGCACGCCCCACACTGGGGATGGAGCCTGCAACTGGCATGTGCCCTGACTGGGAATCGGACCGTGACCTCCTGGTTCACAGGTCGACACTGAACCCCTGAGCCACACGGGCCGGGTGCATTTGTGTTTTTAATAGAAATAGGCAGTGCATTTTCTTAGAAGTTGTATTGGCCCAACGAGGTGACAAGTTGGGTCGGACGCCCCCCTGCCCCCGGCTGTGATGCCGAGCCCAGCAGAGAGAGGCCCGAGGCCTCTCCTCACTGCTGAATACTTCCATCCCATTTCTGGCCGCAAATGGCTTCTATCTCCCTTTTGACTTCAGCTATTAATTTTTATTGTGGACTTATTATATTTCTCTTATCATTACACCTGGGAGCCAAACAAGTGGTTTAAATCTTCACTCAGAGCACCATGCCTCTTACATGGGATTCATACTGATACAGTGCCATCACTTTATACGACTACTATTCATAAAACAGACTTAGAAACGTGCACATATTTTCAAGTTGCTCAGACTCAAATCGATGAGAGTCCATCATTCTAAACGGCAAGGTGCCCACAAGAGTAAAAAAAATGCCCAATAGCAAATAATCCTAACCATCAAGCAATCTGGGTCGATTTCAGCATTATTGCCTCAAACCTCCAAAACATATCCTCATGCTTTAAAGCTCTAGGTACACGAATGTAGTTTTAAAACAACCTAAAATATTGCGATGAAAATCAGCTAGCACTTCATTCCGTCCCACAGTTTGATTATCAGCCGTTGTGCCAGCACTGAGTATTTTTAATAGATTTCTACAGATTTTTTGGAGAAAAATGTCAGATATTTAGTGAAATCTATCAAGACATCACTCCTTTCTACTAATCATCGCACGAAGACCGAAAGGAGAGACACAAATCACACCTTCACAGAGATGACGGGCACCGATACCCCCGAGAGGAGCGTGTCACCAGGCACTAACGTATACCTTTCCTGATCATCTTTCTTTCTCCCAGAAACACTCTTCTTTTTGTGTAAAATCTCTCCATACTACTGTTTTAAATAGTAGCACGGAGAGATTTTATTCAGAGACAATGCAGATTTGGGGCAATTGGCAAGTGTGAGGTGACATTAATGGAACAACGATCCTATTTCTAAATGACCCGTGAAAGGCATTAGTGATAAATACTGGTTATCATTCATTATCATGGCGATGCGTCTTAGTTTCTGCTACATGAGCTGATAGATCTGATCGGTCAGTGGGTCAAACTGCTTCATAAACATGCTGGACTCTTTCCTGAAGGTGCCTGTGGCCGGGCCACCCCCAAGCCAGGCCCTGGCTTCCCGCCGTAAAGCAAAACCTCCGCTGCCAGCCTCAGCAGCGCTCCTGGCGCAGGCCCTTCCAAGACCCTGGATTTCGATTTTGCAGGAGTGCGTGCTTCTCTGTAATGTTTCATAAATGAAGCACGAAGTTCACCGTCTGGGGCCCCACAAAACCTGGCACCTGGCTGTATGTGCAACCAGCCTTCGACGGCCAGAAGGAAAAAGAGAACATGCATCCACCGAGAAACCGACTAAGGCCTCCGTGCTCATCTGACACAACCTGTTTCATTGCAGGCGCTTCCTCGCTCGGAGGCCGAGGCGCCTGGGGCTGTGTCTCCAGGTGGAATACCGGGCACCTGCAGCCAGAAGACCCGCTCACCCTGAGCTGGCGCAGGGGACTGTGACATTACCTGGGGCCAGTGAGTCTGGGACATCGCACAGATGGAGCACTGGCTGTGTGCTCCAGACCTGCCCTTAGGAGATGCCAGCTCGTGGGAGTTAACGAACTTCATGGGGCCTCCTGCTCCGTACACAGAAGATGGAGACGAGCGTGCTCACCTGCAGGTGATTCTGACTGAGGATCATCAAGTTCTATGTGCCTGCCACCCTCCAGGACAACAGGGCTGTGTTAACTGTGATTTTTTTTATCCTTAGTTTCTTCGTGTCCAAAATGGAAAAAAAACAACAAAAAAGCACACCCATCACCTCCTTGACGTGTCTGGAAGGGTGCCCTCCACACTAAAGGGAGACCTCACACAAACGCATGGCGCCCTACGCCGCTGTCATCTACCGCAGCTGCGCATCCCCTGCCCGATCCTTTTCTTCGCACGGACGTCTAATCACCTCCGACACCAAGTGACACAAATGGACGAAGGCGGGACCCTCACTCAGCACCACCGTGGCGGCAACATTTCAGTTGCTGGCTGGTATTATTGCGGAGGAGCTCCAACGTGCCTCAGGCCCCGCAGTTCAGCAGCAGCTCACAGCAACGCTGGGGCCTCGGCGATGCCCAATCAACGCTGGTTTCATTCACTGAACCCTACCCAGTGGGAGCTGAGGGCACTGGTGTGCACACCAGCCCGTCTGCCGGGATGGTCTGGTTTGCTTCCGCTGCCCTGGGTTCATGATTAGCAACGTCCTCTCCAAAGTGTCTGTGTGTTTGATCATTTTATTTACAGAGCAACCCAGAGGACAAACATACAGTAGGAGCCTATCCAAGCTCACATCTCGGTGTCCGCACAGCGTTTGTTTGTTCTTTGATAACTGGATTTCATTTGAGGACTGCACACGTGTGTGTTTTTCTTTGTCTCCACTTTTCTATGATGGACGGGAAGTATCACAAAAATACATTATCGGAAAGAGGACATGCAATCCTCTGCTATGTATTAGTATAGATTTTTCTATAATCTCCTCGCATATGCTTGTGCAAGGCTTTTCGTGACCTCCCTGTTCCAAAAAGGTAAGGTAGAAGTTTGGGGGTTTTCCCTAGTAAAATGGTCACAAAGGAACAAATAAGCATGCTCCTTCTTCACTCACAATTTGTCAACCTAATTATTGTAGCACCGAAGCAAACCATAAGTGCTGGTGTCCTTTAAGTAACTGTCAGAGGTTCTTCCATGTAGTCGCATGAGGCCTGGCTGTTTGAACTATAATACTGTATTTTTATTGTATTGTAAGGACTGATTAAATGAATGTGAACCGCGTTCACTTAATAAAATATAGAAATAAATGCACATGGTCTGCAAGGGTGTGTAAGTTGTGTACAATGCTGGGACACGGGGTGGGCCATGTCACGGGAGAAGTGGTATTGCAAACGCGCTGAGACATACAATTCATACAACACCTAAGGACTTCCCTTCTCAGTGAGCTCCTTGAGGGGGTCTGGGATTTCATGTGTCAGGCCCATGCTCAACTAAAAGTATAAAAACTAAACTAAAAGTGCAGTGTCAAGAAGTAATGCCATACAAAGAGCATATTTAATGGGTATTAAAATAATCTCATAGCCCGGCCGGTGTGCCTCAGTGGTTGAGCATCGACCTATGAACCGGGAGGTCAATGGTTGGATTCTCGGTCAGGGCACCTGCTTGGGTTGTGGGCTGGATCCCCAGTGTGGGGCACGCAGGAGGCAGCCAATCAGTGATCCTCTCTCATCATTGATGTTTCTCTCTCTCTCTTTCTCTCTCGCTCTCCCCCTTCCTCTCTGAAATCAATAAAAATATATTTAAAAAATCTCATAGAATGTTTATTGCAAAAAACAAATACCACTTTTAGATATCAAAATCTAATGTATTCCTAAAAGTGCCTAATTGATGCAGCAATTTTAATACCAATCCTCTGACCTTCATTAACTTTAACATTTCAAGTCAAATGTTAGAGCCCTGGAATTTTAATTTTAATTTTCCTACATTGCCTCCCTAACTCAATAACAGCAGCAGGAGAAAATGGATTCGGCATGCAGCTAATAATCTACTTAGAGTTATCCTTTCAAACTTCAGGAAAACAAGCAGACAGATCTATTCTCGTTTCATTCTCCTTTTGCAACAATTCATTAGTTACATGTGAGAGGCAATGAGAGTGGCGTTGGCCTGTTAAATGTGATAAATGCAGGATTCCTCACAAATTGAACGCAGTACCCCCGCACATGTTAACACAGAAACCTCAAGGGTTACACTTGAGAAGAGACATTTCAAAACCCCCACGTGATGGATGGAAAACCCAAACCACACTGTTAGTATGAGTGTTGTCAGTGCCAAATGGTCTTACGGAAGCCACACTGAGACCTCACTGAACGGGGCCAACCGCCTCCCCCAGAGGCGGGACCGCCCGTGGCCTGTGTGTCCCGAAGGCACACACGTGTGTCTGGAGCAAGGTCACGGCAGATGTGCAGCCAGCAAAGGACCGAGTAAAGTGACCACACACACAAACACACACACCCACACACCACACACACACACACACACACCACACACACACACACACCACACACACACACACACACACACCACACACACACACACACCCCACAAAAGGCAGCGGCCTCCGGACTCCCCTGCAGGCCGTCCTCTGTGCCACTCATACTTTCCCACCACAGTCCCTCCGTGTCGCACGCCCAGGTTCCAATGGGAAAGTGTAAGGTATGGGTTTCACCAAAAATGGCAGACTACAGAGTCGATATTTTAAAAATCACTTATTAAAAGTTACAGGAAAAACAATTTTGAAAATATCACCCTATTTTAGTCTGCTCTCCTAACCTTTACTTAATTTGGTTGAAAAAAGCAGATTGAGATTTCTGGAAAGGTCACCCATCAATCTGTTTTCTCAGACGACCAAGCAGGCAGCGTGTTTGCATCCTGCTCCGCTTCGGCTCGAGCGCTCACGTCCACAGTCTGGAAGAACAGCGGCGTTCTGCACATCATCCTCTTCCCGCTCACGGGCAGGACGTCAGCACCTTGTGTGTGTTCTGCTGATCGTCACAACACTGCTGACAGGTGGTACGTTAAAGCGAACCGCCCTTTGACTTAGAGAAGACAGAACTTTCTAGAATCACTTGCCCTAAGCGGTGAACTTCCAAGAACGGATGGAAAGCTCTCCCCCATCGTTTCCCTGGGAGATTTTTTTTTAACGGTTTCATAGACTGAGTTGAAGCCATAAGTACACAAAGTGTATTGAGATGAGATTGGAAAACACGTGCCTGTTCTAAATGCCACGGTTCACTTAACGGGCACCGAATGCCGTCCTGATCGGTGCTGTGTCTTAAATAAATAGACTCTGCTTCGGAAAGGGCTGGTGGGACTCCCGTTAAAACCAAGTGAGCCATCTCAGAGGAATGCCTCTCTCTCTCTCTCTCTCTCTCTCTCTCTCTCTCTCTCTCTCTCTCTCTCTCTCCCCCGGGTCACAGGAAACCTTACGATATTATTTTTGCTTTGGAATGCGATGTTAGCTCATATACAGATCGTGTGCCTTTGGCTTACTCCATCCTTGCAAGCTCCCCCTGGATTAATGAAGAGACGGTGGGTCCCCCAAGAAACCTGTGGGCGAATTCACGGGAATCTTCTCCACCAGCGAAGGGTGCTCTGGGGTTGTGGGGACCCTGCCTCGCATTGGTCAGGTACGCCCAGTGCCATGGTGCACTCGGCAAGAAAGGAAATTAAATCCCAGAATTTATTGCAACGACTCACAACCTCCAATTGTTTCTATTTTCTCATCCCCAGGAGCCCTTCCCGGGAATTGACCTGTCAGCAGGCAGGGGGGGAATAACCCTGATTTATCACCCAAAGCCAAGTGAGACTTAAGCTGGAGGGATATGGGGGGGGGGTCCTACAAGGAAAGAGGACGTTAGGTGGAAGTTGACAGAGCCGGAGAGGAAAGTCATTAATGGAAAATCCGGGGCTGACAGGCATTTACTTTGGCCTTTTAGCAAACTGGACCCCAAGGCTTACAAAATCTTCGTGGAGCCTCCGTAGCAGCTGATCCTTTACATGATACAGGGGAGCGGACCGGGCCGCTGACTCCCAAGTAACCCCAGAGAGCAGAGGGGACACCGGGGAGTCCACCTCATTGACACAGGGTTCCCGACAGAGGAAGCCACGGCCCCGCCTTCCACAGGAAACAGTGAAAAATGCTCTCGCTGTCTCCTCCTTCAAACCTGTAAGCTCACAAAACCTCACGCTGATGAAGAGTCCAGGGCGTTTGTGGAAATTCTCTGACCTCTGGCCGTGTTATCTCAAACTGTGAAGATTCAAGGGGGCCCACGACTAAACACTCCCATGTTCAGCTAATGAATACATTCTCCTTCCAGATCCTCTAATGTATGCGACTTTTAGTCAAAGTATTTTATTAACCTTCTGGGGCTGCAACTCATCTGACATATGGTTTTATGAAATTTCATGCTTTTTCTAGTCAAGTTGTGGGATAAAAATACTGTCGGGGGCACAACGCACAGCTTAGCTGTGTTATCACACTAACCGCTTCGGAGATCAACACGGCGCCGACGAGTGTAAAGCCACTTTCCCATTTCCACGCGGTAAGAGGGACAGAGCAATGAGCACCTCTTACCTCCGCAGCGAACTGCTGCAGCCCACCGATGTTAATGGGCCCCTCCTCGGTGGCATAGAGGTTGCAGCCGCCCACACACAGGTCGGAGGTGGGGCACACCATCCCACAGGTCAGGCCAAGCGGGTTGTCCGAGAAAATCATCTTGGCCGCTCCATAATAGTTCTGCCAAAACAAAATAAAATAAAATGTCATGACGTACCAGCCTACCTTCAACACTCAAATGAAGGCCTCTTCTATGAGGTAATTGGGTTGGAGATCAAGACATAAAAGATGCAAGGCTTTCAATAATACTGCTTCCCACCAGGACCCATCACGTAATAACCCGCAGAGGATGCAACATCGAGGAGTGTGCAGTATAGGGCATATGGATAAACCAGTGGTTCTCAACCTTCCTAATGCCGCGACCCTTTAATACAGTTCCTCATGTTGTGGTGACCTCCAATTTCATTGTTACACATTGAAAATAATGAAAGCATAGTGATTAATCACAAAAACAATATGTAATAATATGTGTTTTCCGATGGTCTTAGGCGACCCCTGTGAAAGGGTCGTTCGACCCCCAAAGGGGTCGAGACCCACAGGTTGAGAACCGCTGGGATAAATGAACAATTCATCAATTTTGGAAAACTAAACTTTAAAATGTAAGTGTTCTGTAATCATTTTCTTTACAAGGCATCTTGCTATAGCCTGCCCTAAGTTATTTTCATTTTTAATAGTGGTAAATGAGGTGTATACTGCTTGTACAAGCTTAAAACCTAAATCTTTTTTTAAAATATATTTTTATTGATTTCAGAGAGGAAGGGAGAGGGAGAGGGAGGAACATCAATGATGAGAGAGAATCATGGATCGGCTGCCTCCTGCACACCCCACACTGGGGATCGAGCTGGCAACCCAGGCCTGTGCCCTGACCAGGAATCGAACCCTGACTCCTGGTTCATATGGTCAACGCTCAACCACTGAGCCACGCTGGCTGGGCAAAACCTAAATCTTAAAATTTAAAAAAACAAAACAAAACAAAAAGAGTTGCACTGAATTAGAAGCAGCTGGGGCTCTTTCTCGTCATCCCCCCGACGTCTGCAGGGAAACTGTATGAAGAACTCTGTGCTCAGAGGCCTGGTTGGCAAGTTTGTAAGGAGGAAAATTCTGATAAACAGGGCGGGCTCCTTTTCTCAGAATTTTCCTACAAACTTTCCAACCAAGTCTCCTATGTTCCCCCACGTGGCTCAAATCAACTTTTGTAAAAATTCAAAAAAAAAAAAAAAAAAAGAACTCCGTGCTGATTGCCAGCCTCTCTCACAGACTGTTACCCAAAGGTGCAGAGGACGCTCAGGACACATCCTCCTGGGCCACCTGACGAGCTCCCCTCCCCCACGCCCTCCCACACACCTGGCTACGACCCAGCAGCTCCGAAGCCCACGCACGGTACCCAGAGGCTGCTGAACCCAACTTGTCCAAAAGTGGTACAACTGTGTCTTTATTTACTAAATAAAGAACAAAAATAACAAGTTTCATATTTCAGGTCCATTTTTTCCCCTAATCAAAGAGAGATTTAGACCTGACCAGTAATCCTCAACTGTCAAGTACATAAAAAAATAAGGATAATTTGAAAACAACTGTATCAGTGAAGAGGACCTCAGGAGACATGAGAACTACATGGACGATGTTATTCTGGACAAAATCCTCGATCAGAAAGGGGGACTAGGTAGGAATGAGAACATCTGAAGCAACAACAGACTCAGTTAATGATAATGCTTCATTAATTGTAACAAATGTGCTAAAATACAAATGTTCATGGGGAGACTGCATGCAGATGCACATGGGAATTCTCTGCACAATCTTCACAATTTTTCTGTAAATAAAAAACTGCACTAATAATACAGTTTTAAAAAGAGATTGTAGCAGGTACTTAATGCTATGAAACTCATGCATTTATTTTGCCTTTGGCTTTGTCTGAAATCCTTTTAAAGGTCTTTGAAACCACACACATGGCTTCCGTGAGTAACCTCAAGCATAAATACAATTATTAGAGACTACAGACCACTGATGATGATAAACAACAATCACCTTCAGTATTTATTGACACTGGTACATTCCCAGCACTCTGCCCCGCCTTTCTATTTATTCTTTATCCCCACTCATCTTATGTAAGATGTACTGCACTCAATAAAAAAAAACAAAAAAACTTTTAGGCACAAGAAGAGACAATTAAATGCCTCACGATCTGAGAAAATAAGAGGTAAATGAGGCAGAGCCCAGGTGACCCAGACAGTGAAGTTAGCAGAAAAAGACTTTAAAATAATCTTGATGACAATTCAGGCAAAGAAAAGGCAAACCAGATAGATGAAACCATGCAAAACATAACCAGAATACTGAAATCTGTTTTAAGAGAATCAAACTGCCATTCTGCAATGGAATAACACATTTAAAAATAGACTTTAATGCATACTTTTAACGGCATTCGCAATGATTTAACTGCATTTGTCATATTCAATGTGTCTCCTTAGCAACCAAGACATGTCTGACACGTGAGAACGGTTCTTCAGTGCACATTTTCTGAATCCGTCCGAGGAATGTGTTGTGAATGCAGCTGATAAACAAGGTGACGTAGGTGGAAAGGTTAAATAATCTGCCAGAGGGTCACACTGCCTGTAACCGGCAGAGCTGGGACTCAGAGCCGTACGCCTGACCTGTGAAGGCCCAGGAAGATGCCGATACTCAAGCGCCTGTCCCACTCCTGGGAACAGCAGGTCGCCGACAATGAAACCGTTTAGTGACTCTTCAACACTCCGGCGACTCCACGTCTAACCTCACACCAAAATAAAATTGTCAGAGGCTACGAAAATTTTAAAAATTAGTAAGAATGACTGAGGGCTTCACAAATAAGAAGCACCATAGCAATTTCTGGAAACGTCCAATGCCTGCTCCCCGACATCGAGACGCCGGTATCAGAGGGAAGAAGTCCTGTCGGACTGCGGTGTAGTCAGCTTGGCATGGGCGGCCGTGAAAACGATTCTGGGGCGACAGGGCTACGGTGCGAGGGAAAGACATGCGGGGCAACACTCAGGAGTGTTCAGAAAACATCTGGTGCGATCACGTGGCAATCTGGCTACGTCAGTTCATTCTCTCACTTAGGAAGTGACGATTCCAAGATAGAGTTGGGAAAAGTGTTTGCACCTAATTACCAGAATCCTGACTACCGACCAGAGGGGCGGGTTTGGCACTTTTTAACAGGAAGGTGTCAGCATTAAGGGACCAGCCGGGAAGACTGTTGTACAGACGCCCCGGCTGGCTTGGCTCAGTGGATAGGGCGTCGCCCTGCGGACTGAAGGGTCCCAGGTTCGATTCCGGCCAAGGGCACATGAGTGGGTCGTGGGTTGGATCCCCAGTAGGAAGCGTGCAGAAGGCAGCCGATCAATGATTCTCCCTCATCATCGATGTTTCTATCTCTCTCTCCCTCACCCTTCTCTGAAATAAAAACATATATATTTTAAAAAGATTATTGCACGGATAATGTGGACATTCTCAGAAATGGAGTGAAATGATGGGAATGTAAAGAAGACAGGATGGTATCTCAGAAAGGAAAGCCTCGCCACGCCACAGAACAAGACGCGGCGGAGCCATGGCTGAGCCTTCACCATCGTCCTCGCAAACAAGCGTGGAGACGTGCAGGGACCCCCCCCCCCCCCACGCCCGGGGATCTGTGTGCTCCGAGCCAGAGCCCCAGAAACCCGCGCGAAAGGGAGCACCCATCAACTCTGCCCACGGACCCGTCAAAATCAACAGGAATTCTTTCCTTTCCCAGGAAGTGGGCCGGTTCCCCGCGCCCTCCTCCCCAACAAGAGGCCTGGCTCCTCGCCTGTGAGCCCCCCAGCCTTTCTCAGAGGAAAGGCCAGCACACCGACATGTGGAGGGCACTTCAGAGCCACCCGGCCGCCGCCTCCTCCAGACTCAGACCCACTCCAACCGGCGCCTTCAAGTTATTCAATCCGTCGCCTGCGTCTGGCCTTCCACTGGGGGAAGGAGCACGGAAGGGCCTGTTCAGTGGGATCTGGGCGAGGAGGTATCTTATGTCTAAAGCCTGAGGAATTGTACCCCTTCGCTAAACAAACACTGAAAAGGCAAAAAGAAAAAAATGTTGGCTATGTTTGTTGTATGTATATCAACACAAAAGAACAGGCACTGAATGTTCTCCTGTCCACTAACTTACCCATCAACTCCTCTGTTACTCACTGGGGTTTTCAAATCACGCGCTGAGGTACAGAACGTGGGCCAGGTATGCAAGTTGTTTTCAGATAACTTTTACTTTTGTCGGGCCAGTGTGGCTCAGTGGTTGACCATAGACCCATGAACCAGTAGGTCTCAGCTTGACCCCCAGCAGGGGGCGTGCAGGAGGCAGCTGATGGATGATTCTCTCTCATCATTAATGTTTCTCTCTCTCTCCCCCACTGCCTGCCTCTCTGAAATCAATAAGAATATATTTTAAAAATTCAACTAAGTTGTATATCTTTCTAAAAAGTAACCAGAATTATGGCTTAACTATTATTCTTTTTTTACCTGAACAGACAAAAAATGAACACATACTAATGGGGCATTTGGTGTCTAGGATCTGAGGTAGAAATTTAGCGTCTGGATGTATTATTAAACTTCGTATCTCTCTCTTCTGAAAGATGCGGTACTGAAAACAAAGCAACGTCACACGTGACTCAGAAAAGAGAGGAGAATTACTCCCTCTGATTTAATTTAAAATACACTGGAAAAAACAACATGCACTGATTACTAATATTCAGTCACACAGAGAAAAATGGTGGAGGCTTTGGTTGTTTCTTTGTTTTTAAAAAATCATTTGTTAATTTAAACAGCAAAAATATTCAAGTCAAACTGTTAGTTGAGTTTTAAAAATAAGTTTATATTCCCAGTAACAAATACATGTAACAGCAAAGTTATAAATCGGAGGAGAGAAAGAGCTCAAGACAATCTCACCCCAAATAGTCTGACCCCAAACAAGACTTGAAGCAAGCCCAGTGACTCCCGCAAAACACCACACGCATAAGATAATTACTTAATAAGCTCAGAACTTCCTTCTTTATGCTATTGGAGCTAGACTATAATTGAACACTCCTATTTTCTTCTATTCAAAAAAATAAAGTCAGACTATTTTCTGA